CAGACCGTCATACATATATTAATGTGGGCTACAAACACTATGTTTATATAATTACATCACCCACGGTAATTAGCCAATGAGCCGCGGTTAAGATACTAAACGCCTGGGCAATATTTCTATAATGTGGGTTAGTTTTTATAAGACACAATTGAAGTGACTGTGGTGATAGTGTAGTGATTTTGGTGATGAAGAAGATTGTGGTGATGGTGAAATGATTGTGGTGATGGTGGTGAAGCGATTGTGGCGAAGTGATTGTGGTGATGGTGAAGTGATTGTGGTAAAATGATTATGGTGAAGTACTTAAGATTTAAGTGGGTGAAAGGAATCAATAGAGGAGATATAGATAAAGTTCTTATAATATCCGAGCAAGATAGGGCTCGAACCAACAGATTTAAATTGGATAAGTTTAGGCTTAGGAGGGAGATAGGAAGGAACTGGTTCACAAACAGGGTGGTGGACGAATGGAACAAGCTTAGCAACTTTGTAGTAAGTGCTGGAACACTGGAAAGTTTTAAAAGAAGGCCAGATCGATTCATGGATGATAGAGTGGTAGTAACTTTCGATAGGAGCTGCCATGCACAGGTCAACCGGCCTATTGCAGACTCCTTATTTTCTTATGGTGGTGAAGTGATTGTGGTGATGGTGGTGAAGTGATTGTGGTGATGGTGGTGAAGTGATTCTGGTGATATTGGTGAGTGTTTCTGGTGAAGTGATTCTGGTGAAGTGATTCTGGTGATGGTGAAGTGATTGTGGTGGAGGTGGTTAAGCAGTTGTGGTGAGGTTATAGTGGTGAATTGATAGTGGTAGAGTGATTGTGGTTAAGTGATTGTGGTGGTGAAATGATTGTGGCGGTGGTGATGAGAAAGTTGTAACAGCACTTTTTGCATTAAATAAATAGTCACCCAAATGAATAACACCAAATTATTCACTAAGTTATTAAACAATGACTTGGTAATTGTTCACGTTATACGTGACTCAAACTCTCTCAGAAGTCGAGCGAGGTCACCTGACTAATCAAAACAGCTTGACGCCCGCTTCTCCGCTCACACGCTCGGAGGAGAGGGGCCAGTCTTACCACTAGTTAAGGCGTGAACATGTAACTTAAGTGTTCATTTTATAAGTGTACTCAAAACACTTCCCTGGAGATAATTCACAATACATTCTCTCCCAAACTAAGTACTGTGTATATAATTACTTCAACAATAAAGAAAAAACCCAAAAGAAGTGTTTACCTCAGCCCTGCCACTTTAGAGGTTCAGAACTTATTTAAAACAATTAATGTGATACACAACAGGTATTACAAAGTAATAAGAACATAAGAAAATAAGGAGTCTGCAATAGGCCGGTTGGCCTGTGCATGGCAGCTTCTGTCGAGAGTTACTACCACACTCTATCATCCATGAATCTATCTAGCCTCCTTTTAAAACTTTCCAGCGTTCCAGCACTCACTACAAAGTTGCTAAGCTTGTTCCACTCGTCAACCACCCTATTTGTGAACCAGTTCCTTCCTATCTCCCTCCTAAACCTAATCTTATCCAACTTAAATCCGTTGCTACAAGTCCTATCTTGCTCGGATGCTATAAGAACTTTATCTATATCTCCTTTATTGATTCCTTTCACCCACTTAAATACTTCTATCTTATCTCCCCGTACTCTTCGTCTTTCTAGGGAATGCAAGTTTAGTTTATTTAACCTATCTTGATATGGAAGGTTTCTAAGTCCCGGAATCATTATCGTCATTCTTCGCTGCACCGACTCTAGTGAATTGATATCCATTCTACAATAAGGGCACCAGAACTGAACCGCATAATCGAGGTGCGGCCTGACTAGCGCAAGATATAGTTGCAATAAGACCTCTGCACTCTTATTACTTACACTTCTAGATATAAAATCTAATACTCTGTTTGCCTTATTTCGAATATTAACGCCCTGTTTTCTAGGCCGTAGGTCCGTGCTTACAAGTACCCCTAAGTCTCCATCAAACTGTCTCTCAGAATTTCTGACGGGGCATCCTCCACTCAGGCGGAACTAATAGCCCTCCTTGCTGCCCTTCTCGCTTGTCTGCTGCGATTCCAGGTCTGCTCTCGACGGGATCGCATTTGGATCAAGGGAAAAAAGGACTTCATCCTCCGAATACGAGGGTTAACATCCACACTTCAGGATGCAGGCCGTCCTGTGACATTCCTATGGATACCCAGTCATGTCGGTATCTTGGGGAATGAGGCAGCAGATGGCCTTGCCAAGACTGGCTGCAACAAGGCCACACCTGACTACGTTGTTCCTCGAACACTTTTACAGCTTAGGACCCAAATTCGCCGCAAACAGAGAGAAGCTCGGGAAGCAGCCATCCCCCTGGACTCCCCGCCCACCTAGTACGATGTCCTCCGTAAACTTCCTGACCTCTCGTATGTCTATGGGAAAGGGTCGCGGAAAGGGGACGTGATTGCTGCCCGTATCATCATTGGGTATGACTGCTTGGGAGATTGGTATCCCCACATCCCCTGAGCAACGCTCTTGTGCATTATGCAGAAGACCCGACAGCCGCACCCTTATCCACCACCTCCTAAGATGTCCCCACACACAACGCTTCCGTGACGCCTGCTGGACCACCACTCCACGACCCCCTGACGGAGACACGATGATCCTCCCCATACTGGCCAGATATTATGTAAATAATATTGATTATGTGTTAAAGGAATATCCTTCCTTCCTTAGGCTTTAGTAAGCCCCTTTATAATATTTATACTGTATATACTTGTCACACTTGCTAGATGCTTCTGGTGTTATTGTACTGAGGTACCTAGTGACAGCACCAGGATCCCGCTTCCTCTATCAAGGAATAAACAATTGAAATTGATAAGTTTTTCGCCGTGTTTTTACCTCGCAATTTCCCCCCATTCTTCATGCTCTACCCATTACAGGTAATTTATGATCTTAAAACAAAAGTTTTCATATCGATTTTACTAGTTAATATCCAAAGAACAACTGTGGAAACTATGAACGAAATATATAAACACGTTCGGGTACTCACCGTCTACCCCACAGTATACGAATTACACCTTCGAAGCATTTTTCATTTTTCTGTGATGCTACACCATAGAAAACGTTAGATATTACCATAAGATTTTTATTTTTACTTTTACCTCTGATCGGCTCTTTAGCCACTTGAGCGGTCGCTTACGTCTCTGTTACGCACTGTTGGCAAGTACTGGGCATTAACTGGCCACTATATATATCGGAACCTGCTCCAGTGTTGGTCAAGTCTGGCCTTGAAAGAGCTCACACTCGGTGCCGTCACAACACTCTGTGGCAGATTGTTCCCACAGTCCTCCGATATGTTTATACACTTCAGTTAGATCACCCCATCTCGGTCTATAGTATAAGCTAAGGAGTTGTGGGCGTTTTAATCTCTCTGGATAACTGAGTTGCCGTAGTGCAGGCATCAGCCTGGTGGCCCTGCTTTGGACATTTTCAATCAACTGACAGTCTCTAGCATATCTCGGAGACCAGACGGGGTGGCGGGGAAGCACCTCTCTCTTTAAAAGTTCGTTACGGCTTTCTTACAAGACCTATTAGTTTAGTTGCTAAAATCATTATCATCTCACAATGGCCCAAGAACTTCAGTTCGTTGTCAACATGCACACCCAGGTCCTTTTCACATGTGGTCTCCATAATGCAATTTCTTCATCCCGTTGGGACGTGTGATGCATCTCCTTACTGTTGGTAAGACCTAAGTGCATCCTCTTTCACTTCGTAACATTGAATCTAAGCAGTCATTTCTTCGACCACTCTTGAAGCTCACAGAGGTCTTTCTGTAGTTCTCCCACAGCGGTCCGACTAATTACCCAAATGTAGCCGCAATGAAGTCAAATAATGGTCCTACATGAATAAATCGGACTGCCAACCACTTCTCGACTAGTATTTGGTGTCACAAAGTCACAAAAAATTATGACTATTATTATTATTATTATTATTATTATTATTATTATTATTATTACTATTATTATTATTACATTTTCGCCCCCCAGGCCCCGATGTGGGTCAGTGACCTGTGTCCGGGTGGGCTAATCCCCGTAAGAAAACAAAAACAAAAAACAAAAACAAAAAACATTTGGGTACATTTGGGTAATTAGTCGGACCTTGTAGTGAATTCCTCCCCTACAAACGCTGTTTGTCGCTGGGTAGCTGACCCCGCGAATTCCCCAGTGTATGCCTCGTGGTCTAGTTCAACCAGCGCCGCCTTACATGACGGAGGTCAACTACTAAGCCACGCCTACCTCCGCTATTTAAGACCTGACCTCGTGGTGACCAGCCTCTTTCTACCTACACCAACCAGCTAGCAACACCACCTCCACCTCTCCTGCCTGGCGGTCCTCGCTCCCGCCGGCGAGCATGGCGACCCACAAGCTGGTCCTCCTCTGAACATCCTCACCAACCAGCTCTCTCTACATCACGCTTGTAACCATGCTGCCTTCCCAGCACCAAGCTGCATTGTACATCCAATACAACATGTATACAGAGAGCACATTGTGAGTTTCCTTCCTCCATCCCATCCTGAGTGTGAACACAAACTAAATACTCCACAACCTCTCCACGGTCCTTTTGGTTCTTAATGTCCCTGAATAACTTGATTTGTATGGAGGAGTGTATAGCTTCTGGCTTGTCATTTACGAGACAAACAGTGCATAAGAGAGACGAGACCAACCACCCAAGCGACTAACAAGCCGATCAGTGGCGAAGAGAATAAAAGTAAAGGTAAAGTGTAAGTTTATGAGTGCACCTCCCCTGGGGCAGTATATGTTTTATATCCTTTATCATCAGTATCTCTGGTAATTCCGGGGCCTCTCAGAATTTTTTTTATAAATGATCTCAAGTCATTCAAACGTTTTGACTCAATTTAACATCATTTAACAAATTATTCCATAAATTAATGGAAAGTAAATCAATATAATTTACAAGATAGAAAACGGAGGAGCTAAGCAGAGCCATAAGCGCCCGAGGTCCCGGGTGAGCTTGGCAAAACTAGCATTTACTTTCATAATTAAACTACCGTATACCAACATAAACATGTAACACAGTAGTATGTTTAAATATGAAAAGGCTCAATCAACTACCAAGAATATTTTGCAACAATCTTAAATTGACACCTTGTAATTTGTACAATTGATGAAACTAAGGAATTATACATCTGCAGAAGCTTGTTCATACAAACCTCACCATCCATTATACTGAGGTATTTACTCTTATAAATACTCTGTACTTTATGTAATAGGTAATATTTAGCAGTTCTTGCACACCTGGCAGTAATAATGATATTTCCGTTTCGTACATCCATGGAATCTAAGGTTTTTATCACATGCAAGATACCGTATATCCCATCATTCTACATAACTTTCAATCTATACACTTCCGTCGCAAATTAATAATAATGTGGTTATTTAATATTAAAATCCTAGACAATATTTATCACAAAACTTCCAAGATAATTTACCGGGCTTTGAAGTAGAAGGAAAATGTGGGGTATTTTACTAAAAAGAACAGTAATGACAGAGAACAGCTCTACTACCAGAAGGAATTGTTCGTTTTTGTTAAATTTTTCCACAGGATTTACTATCATTATAAAAAGTATTTTAAAAGAGGCGACATCTACTAGGACCTAATAGAATCTGACCTAACCAACCAAAGAAACCTACCTAACTTCCTAGCCAGGAGGGCCCTAACCATGGACCCCCGCCATATTAAGGAGAAATTATCCATTTTGACATTTGTTACCAATGAAAACGGCTTTGTCGAAGTGTCATGGTGTAATTGTAGGTTTGGTAAATTATCGTGTCGGTCATCCCTATTTTTTTCCGGCGGTTTTTGACGTGTTTTGAATGATTTTGACCTGCCCTAACCTAACCAAACCACAAAACCCAAGAACTATATCTAACCTAAACCGAAATTCTTAAGATTCCGTGGATGACCAAAACGATAATACCTTGTAATACCATAAATTTTTTGTGGACCTGAGAGTATGCTCGGACTGAGCCAGGGGCGGATCCAGGAATATCAAGGGGGGGGGGGGTTGTCCAAGAAGTTGTGGGTGGGCGAACATGGCAAGCACAACAATCCCACCCACCTGTGTTTTTTGGGGGGTGCTGTAAGACCCCCAGAATTTTTTTTTTAAATCTGACCAATATCATGGGCATTTTGAGGCCATTTTGAAGCCATGCGCACATGATATTAGGAGATTTTCTGAGGTCAATAGTAATTACCCATTACTAGAAAAAAAGGCCTGAGTACAATACTGCATTAAAGAAAAAGTATTGGAATTTTCTGAGGAATAGGGGGGTGGTCCTGGACCCCCAGGATTCGCCCCTGTGAGCGAGTCGGTTCTAAACAAGCAGACAACACCTGGTGACTCAGAAGATTTTTCATCGGAGTATTTACAGTAAATAATTAATTTCTTCACGTAAAAAGTGCGAAGAAACATCATTTTTAGTGCCCTATGATCAATTTTTCACCGTGTTTTACCCCACAATTTCCCCTCATCCTTCATGCCCTGCTCACTTGATCGTAGATAGAGATAAAATACAGACAATAAATGTAAGAAATCTGCTCTTTTAAAATACTTGCCTAACTTTTCTAAACTTGTAAAAACGTTAAGAATTGTTTTCGAGTTTATGTGTACATCTATCATGTATGGAAATTGGTAATGGGTTTTGTTTCCGCAGATGTGAGGTGAAAGACATGTACAAAATGTGAATACAGAAGTAGTACAGTAGATTAGCAGAACAATATGACAAGTACGTTCACTACAGTGAATACAGTTTGACTTACTGATGGTCATTCAACCAAGAATATGTAAGACACATGAAGGAACATTTTCCAGGTGTAGATGTATGATGAACTTGTTATTTTATGAGACAAGGGTTGTTATAAGTTTGTCAAGTCCATAAAGAATATTTATTATGTCCACATGTAAAAGTGCAGCTAAGAATGATGGACAAGGAAAGGTACATTGAAAATAAATTACAAATTTAATTTATGTATCCCATATACAGTACTGTACTGGATATGGTTGAAAAATTGTATATCCCAGCAGCAAAATTTTAGAACAAGCTCGAAGTTGATACAAGACTTAAAAGTTTGAGTGTTGCGGATATTGTATAGTACTACATCCTGCCTCTTTATACATCATCTTTGTACCTGAAGAAGTAACATGACTGTCAACACCCAGTATGTTTAAGTTAACCTTATTGGCAAAAGTACTGTATACGTATTACGTGTTTTAAAGTTGATCGTATTGTCAGAAGCTGCCCCCAATAGGATCAACACAGTTTATTAAAGGCATTCACATGTGTAAAGGATTGTACATACAAAATCAGTGAACAGTATAGTCATGGGGTAACACCTGTCAGTTGGGTGTCATATGCAGCATTAACATCTCGTGTAGTTAAAGTTCATCCCCACAAAAGTATACTGCACATAGTGTATTCACACCCATCTCATATTACAGTATATCGTTTCACAATACTATTATAGTACTGTTGAATGTATTGACAGTTAGTTAATCCCATTTGTTTTTTTAATTGAATTTTCCTGATTCCTTCAAAGTCTCTTGATCTCATAACTGAAGCTGTCCTCATTGAGAATAGTGAGAAAGCTTTACATTGCATTGTATTGTTATTTATACACATGTGATTGATTATATTAACAACTCTCATTTAAACAGCATGGAAGGTTTAATATTGTGATGTGTATATGTGGCATTATCACAACATAATCTTGCATCAGTTTACTGTTATTTCTAATGTATAAGTGCAATTTACAAGGCATTAAGAACTGAATTCAAAACTCAAGTTGCCTGAAAGCCTCACAAATGAGATAGACTGGATAGTTTTACAATGGAAGCTCACTCAGAAGAGCAATCATTCCACTGTTTAGAGTGCCAGGAAGAATTTTCACTTGAAACTGATATAGTGGACCATATGAGAGTTCATATGGAAGAAAAACAATTTCAGTGTACTGAATGTTATAAAGAATTTCCAGAAAAATTTCTTCTGGTAGAACACATGAGAGTTCATAAAAGAAAGAAACCATTTCAGTGTTCAATATGTTTGAAAAAATTCTCAAAAAATTCTCATTTAGTAGGACATATGAAAGTCCACACTGGAGAGAGCCCATTTCAGTGTTCTGGGTGCTTTAAAAGCTTTTCACTCAAATCCAATTTAGTAAGACATATGAAAGTCCATACAGATGAAACACCATTTCAGTGTTCAGAGTGTCTTAAAGAGTTCTCACACAAATCATCACTGGTAGAACATATGAGATTACATTCAGGGAAGAAATTCCAATGTCCTGAATGTCCTAAAAACTTTAAACAAAAATCTTACCTAGTAGCACACATAAGAGTTCATAGTGGAAAGTACCCATTTCAGTGTTCTGTGTGTCCAAAGGGTTTTTCAAAGCAATCTCATCTAAAAATTCACACGAGAGTTCATACAGGTGAAAAACCATTTCAGTGCTCAGAATGCAATACATGCTTTAAACTTAAATCTCATTTAGCAGCACACATGAGGATTCATACAGGAGAGAGACCATATCAGTGCCCAGAGTGTTGTAAAGAGTATGCACGTAAATCAAACCTTGTGACACATATGAGAATCCATACAGGAGAAAAACCATTTCATTGTGCAGAATGCTTAAAAAAGTTTTCCAAAAAATATGAACTGGTACACCATATGAGGACTCATACAGGAGAGAACCCATTTCAATGTCCTGGATGTATGAAGAATTTTTCAGAGAAATGTTCCCTTGTAATTCATATGAAACTTCATACTGGTGAGAAACCATATAAGTGTCCAGAATGTCTTAAAGGATTTTCATGTAAAGCACATTTAGAAGCACACAGACGAGTTCATACGGGAGAGAAACCATTTCAGTGCTCAGAATGTTCTAAATGCTTTTCAGAAAAATCCGCTCTAAGAACACACATGAGAGTTCACACCGGAGAGAAACCATTTCAGTGTTTAGAG